AACGTCAAGCATGTAATAACACTAGAACCCTGTTCAAAAAAAGGTTCTGAACAGGACCATATACAGCACATTCTCCATCAATCTGAAGAACAAATTCACCACACAAAGAACCCTTTAATCATGCAATGGCGTCTTTGAGTGTTCAGGGTTCTATATAGAACCGCTGTCTTTCCTTAAGAACCCTTGAAGAACCATAATTTTAAAGTGTGTACTGTAAGGTCACCCATTGCTGACACAGGCGTTCAAATTACATGCACACAAGTTAATCTCCATAGAAAAGCTCTGACCAATAGAATGGGACGCTCTGGAGGAGCCACACACAAGCCTGAGGTGTCCAATGCCAAGCATTAGCAAGAGGGGTATAAAGCTCCACAGCCCAGGACTGCGCTCTGTCTGGAGTGAAGGAGCTCCATCCAGTACCTTTGTGATGAGTTGGAGTGATCCAGAACTGACCATCCAACATCAGTACCTGACCTCACTAATGCTCTTATGGCTGAATGCCATTAAAGAAACACTAGATGAGCAGTTGCCTATAAACATGCAGTGAATTGATTTAGTTTTTAGGTTTTCTGAAGCCCCATTAAATGACACAGTGCAGTTAACTGAGGTTTATTATCTTTCAATACTGCTAAAACTGCTAAGACTAATCATCAGTATTGCTGTGCAACACCAGCCTCATTTCACCAGCATAGATGACAAATCATCCAGCAGTACATGGGAAATATTTTACATGAGGATTCAAAGGGTTGTGGCATTTTCAGTGTTTATCTAAGGAAAAAATGATGCAATTTATTATTATTTCAACCTCAGATTTCTTGGTGCTCATTTTCTGTGAAGAACATATAAAATAACCCATTTTCAGTGTCTTCACTCTGTTCACCCCCCACACATTTATATCACACATGTGGTGTTGGGTGAACCCGTGGTGAATAAAGTGTGGAGGTGCTGTGTCCTTCACTCTGTTCTCCTCCTACATGGCCTGCTGTTAGTGTGTGTGTGTGTGTGTATGTGTTTGTATATATTTATGAATGTGTGAGGGATGGACAACATGGACAGGCTGCTGACTGGCTACAGCTGCTAAAGGAGAACCCTACGCTGGCCACTTGTGATATTTTAAACATCTGGTAATTTTACATAAATTGTTATGGCTGTATTGATTTATAAATACAGCCATAAACAGTAATGTGGTGGGTCCACCAGACCACTGAGTAACAAACACATCAACACCACACAAGGGTTAAAGGGCCCATGACATTAAAACTTTTGGCATTTTTGTAATAAAAGCACTTGACATACTATGTAAACACTGTTAAACCGTCTCTATACAGTTCATATATGGAAACTGAGCTGCTAAAACAGCCCATTTTGAATTCACTATTTCAGTGATGTCATAAAAACCAGTATATTTGCATTTATCCACTTATTCAGCCTACAGCAGTTTCACTTTGTCCATTCACACTGAAGTTATAAGGGGTGTTTCAGCCTCAACCGCTTTTTGAATGAGGCACAACACAGAATAGCCAATCAGAACAGAGCTCATTTACATATATCAGTCTTAAACCAAAACAGCCTGTTTAACTATATAGAGAGGTCATGTTTTTGCCCACAAATGTCATAAGAGGACATTTGTGCATGAAGAATGTAGGATAAGGTCCCTTTAAGTGTGTTAAGCAATACTAACTACTTACTCATCATGGGATTCATTATCTTTGCAGGCTGCAACAAATCTTGCTGCCAAATATCTACTTTTTTAGAAATGTATCAAGCTCAGTTCTCACCTCACTGGCAGATTTCTTTCATGCATTTATCTTAAGGCTGTCACAATTACTTGAGTTAAAAAATAATTTATTCAAATTTACCTTACCAGTTAATTACTAATGAATAGATGGCAATTTGCACGATCATAATGCACATCGCTGTTGATGGAAAGAAAACCTCGTATCTCCAAAATGGTAACTTTACAGGAGAAGGAAAAAACCTACTATACTTTTAATGTAAGTCAGTGGAACCAGACTTTCTTCCAAGTCATTTTGGTCCATTCATCATGAAATTCACACACATAATAAAGGACAGTAGGGTTTCTCAAATTATGTCAAAAAACTGAAAAAAAAGATGTAAAAAAAAATGGAGATACAAGGTTTTGGTCTGACAGCAGTGATATACTGAATTCACCTGCTGCTTTATTTTATACTAAAAAACAGACAAATAAACATCCATTCATATGCATTTCACCCACGTTTCCATTGTTTTCCAGTAAAGTATTAGTATAATACTTATACTTTAGTGTAATCAGTTGATTACTCATTCAGTAATTTATTAACTATATTAAAAATTCTTTTCCTCTTTTTGTAACTGCAAGCTTATTATTCAGTTATTAACCTTCAGACTTATTATTGAGTGACTAGTATAAATAAAACCATTAACTACTATGAAACTAATCATTTCTGTAGCTATATTTGTGTTGTAGACACTGAGACCCCTGGCTCCTATGACCACCACTGTGAGGAATCAAGAGTTGGTAAATTTCTCAAAAACGCCTTATTTCCCTTTGTTTACATCTCAGTGACTGAATTATGCAAAAATGCATAAAAGATGGAATTCCTCAGTAAAGGGGTTAAAGGTATGAAGCAGTGAGAGTTTCTGACCAGCTCACTCAAGCCTTCGCTGGGTCAGGGGTCCTAAAGTGGCCTCTGGTCTCCACGGTTACTGCCCAGTGGACGACAACACTGCGGCCGTCCCCTTTTGTCCCCAGACTCTGGGCATCAAAAGCAGAGCAGCAATGAAGCAGCCCCCGAAACAGCTCTCACCCAAACAGAGCACAACAACAGAGCGGGGCAAATAAACTCCAGTCCAGACCACCAGGGCTGACGACAAGAACGGGCAGGCGGCTCTCCCGCTAGGTGAAGTGGAGCTTTTATTGCAGCCCATTAAAGCCACAATGAGGGATTTGTTGGGCAATTTTTGGGCAATGAGGGATTTGTAGACCATTTGGACAAAAGTACAGACAAAATTCAGGTTTTAAGATGAGTAATAGAACCGTTTTAGCTATGCGACATACTTTTGGAAATGTTTATAGATCACAGCACGTCATGTGGAGTCAGCAAACGCACAAGCAAGTCTATTACAGATTACTGAACAACTCAGTACAGCTTAAGGCCAGTGAGTAACGATTTAGGCATGCATGTTCTCACAGTGCTCATTGGTGCACTGTTGCTTCCATTACTTGGTCAAATTACAGCAGTTAACTTCAGATACTAACCATGTTTTGACTATTTGACTATATTATATAAGTCCACTCCACTGTGAGCCAGAATAGTGTTCAAACACTGATAAACGACTTAGAGCTTTTTAATATGTAAGCTGTCTGCAGGACAGAACTCTGCTTAAGTGACCAATTCAATCCCAGCCACTTTCCTCAGAGGCTTACAAAAGTACCAGCGCTGCCATTCAGTCACTCTGAAATCTCTGAAGGTGATTTTTACTGGCTGTAAATAACAAAACTGACTCACTGACCTCACCTGAGTCCTGCTCCAATGCGGTACGGCCTTCCCCAGTACAAAGCAGTACAAAGAAATTGAGAACTCCACTAATTTCTGCACAAGTAAACCGATATAAACAAACTACTTTAGAGTGGTTTGGTGTGAAACACTTCATTCTAGAGTGAATCCCACCATTTCTTCAAAATGTCTGCATAATTCAATCACTGAGGCGTAAACAGTCATTCAGAGAAGTTTAGTGTGAATTGGTTCATTATGAAGACTCAGGTTTCTTTACAGTGGTGGTGATAGGAACCAGACGTCACAACGTCTACAACACAATTATAGACATTTTATTTACTATTCAAAACCACCGGTGAACCTGCACGAGTCTTCTGAGTTTATATTTGTAATTTTGATGACGATAAAACAGTCATAAATCTGAAAACCTACGTTTTCTTTGGGGACTATTTGGCCTCACAACACTCTGCAGGTGCCTCTCTGTCATAAACAGATTAAAGTAAATGGAGAAAAAAAAACAGATTTTAAGCCAAACATTTACACGAAAACTATCATAAAACAGACATCAGGCAGAAAAATCATAGCCATTTCATTAATAACTTTCTGTGACGGAGCTTTTAGAGACATTAAACTCTTCAGACGTCTGGTTCCTATCACCACCACTGTGAACAGTTCTGACTCGGTAGGTTTCTCTAGAATGGAGCATTTCACACCAAACCACTCTGAATGACTGTTTACATCTCAACTAAAAATGTAGAGTTTTTAGAAAATAGGTGGAGTTTCCCTTTAAATGCTGTGGACGTCTGGTTCCTATCACAACACAGAATTTCTGTGATCAATTCTGACTCGGTAAGTTTCTCTAAAATGGCACAACTCACACCAAACCACTCTGAATGACTGTTTACATCTCAACTAAAAATGTAGAGTTTTTAGAAAATCGGTGGAGTTCCCCTTTAAATGCTGTGGACGTCTGGTTCCTATCACCACAACACAAAATTCTTGTAATCGATTCTGACTCGGTAAGTTTCTCTAAAATGGCACAGCTCAGACCAAACCACTCTGAATGACTTCGTTTACATCTCAGCCACTGAATAAAGCAGAAATGTGTTAAGAAATCGGTGAAATTCCTCTTTTAATTAGGAAAAACATCAGGATTCACAGCAAATGTAGAATAGATTGAATGAACAGTAGAGCAGCACGTGAGCAGGACAGACAGAACTACTTTCTGGTGAAGTGTCCCAGTTTCACATCATTTGCAGTTCAAAAAAACGCCCATTTTTAAACGTGTAATGAACCCAGAACGCCCTAAAACCCTCAACAGGGAGTTCAGCTGAATAAAACAGTCAACAACATGAGTGGTCCTTCAACAGACAAGCCTGGGTCCATCAGACACCTCCTCGGTTTCACAGCAAGGCTGGGTTTAATCTTCAGGAAAGTGAGATTAAACGGAGGAGACCCTGTCTGGGTTGGTATCTCACACGAAACCCCCCCAAAAACACTCACCATTATTCCTCAGGTTGATCCGCGAACCCGATTAGAGGCGGTTTGTTTACTGTGACACGCTTGAATCTAATCAGTGCTCAGGCTTTAAGGAGAAGTCTGAAGTATTCCTCCGCCGCTCCGGGCTGAGTCCGCGGACAGCACAGGCGACCCTCCGGCTCTCCTGAGTTCAGATGGAAATGCAGTGTAGCGCTTTTCCCTCGCTGAGGTTTGAACCCTCTTTCAGATGTGAAGGGAGGGAACTCAGTCCTGGAACAACACAAACACGCAACCCACAGCTTTACAGCGCCGCCTGCTGGCCACCAAACCAGCTACAGCAGTGAGATAGAGAGAAAAATAGTCCAGTTTACACAGACCAGCCTCTTCTTTAAGGACACCTGCTTGTATCTTCACTCATTGTCCATTTTATCAGCTCCACTTACTATATAGGTGCACTTTGTAGTTCTACAGTTACAGACTGTAGTCCATCTGTTTCTCTGCATACTTCGTTAGCCCCCTTTTACCCTGTTCTTCAGTGGTCAGGACCCCCATGGACCCTCACAGAGCAAGTACTATTTGGGTGGTGGATCAGTCTCAGCACTGCAGTAACACTGACGTGGTGGTGGTGTATTAGTGTGTGTTGTGCTGGTGCGAGTGGATCAGACACAGCAATGCTGCTGGAGTTTTTAATCACTGTGTCCACTCACTGTCCACTCTATTAGACACTCCTACCTTGTCAGTCCACCTTGTAGATGTAAAGTCAAAGACGATAGCTCATCTGCTGCCGCACAGTTTGTGTTGGTCATCCTCTAGTCCTTCATCAGTGGTCACAGGACGCTGCCCACAGGACGCTGTTGGCTGGATATTTTTGGTTGGTGGACTATTCTCAGTCCAGCAGTGACACTGAGGTGTTTAAAAACTCCAGCAGCACTTCTGTGTCTGATCCACTCGTACCAGCACAACACACACTAACACACCACCACCACGTCAGTGTTACTGCAGTGCTGAGAATGATCCACCACCCAAATAGTACCTGCTCTGTGGTGGTCCTGGGGGTCCTGACTATGCAGACAATCAGATGGACTACAGTCTGTAACTGTAGAACTACAAAGTGCTCCTATATGGTCAGTGGAGCTGATAAAATGGACAATGAGCGTGGAAACAAGGAGGTGGACATAAGGAAGTGTCTGGTGGGTGTAGTTGGGGGCCTGCTGCACCAATTAGGGCGCACTTGGCTTTTCCTCTGTGTCTGTTTGTGAATGAGTCACAACACTGAGCTCAAATGAAGCTCCTCAACAGGTTCCCTCTCTTATCTTTATAGAGCAGGACGTCGTCTGCCCGTACTGCCCTCAGCCGTGTCCCTGCAGGCTCCAGTGAGCAGGGTGGGTGTGCTGCAATAATAACAGGGTGCTGTACTGCTCACTCAGGTGAGTCTCATAATGTCGAGAGTGGTTCTAAAAGCAGGATGACCAGGTCACTCTAATCCACACTGCAACAAAGGTGGAGTTGATAATCAACCCTTTTAAATAAGTTCAGTGAAGCTAAATCAGTTATTAACCCTTTAGAGCAGGGGTGTCAAACGCAACCACTTGCCATGACCCTAACCGGCCATTGTTTATTCAAAGTATGCCAAAACTACAACAGCAAAAATAAGCACTGAATACCTGAATGATTCAAACATATTAGCTAATAAAAACAAATTGTTTTATATAAAACAAGAGACCAGATTAGCTGCAGATACTGTTAAACCTCTTGAAATGTCCCCAATGTACAGTAGGTTTTCTACAGCTGCCCATTCGTTTGAACTGGACACCTGGCATCTTTTTGTTTGTTTGTTTGTTTTTGTGGTGCAGTCCTATAGATCGTTGTTGGGGCGGGGTTGGGAGCACACGTTACATTGCAGTGCATGCTGGGAACTGTAGTGCAGTTCAGGGTAAAATGGGCTACTATCAGGTCTGGTTTATGAAGAGCTTGGCCACTTCCTATTTCCCTCGTTATATTAAAAATAAGAACGTGAAACGTCAGAGGGCGCCCACGAGCACGTCCTCAGTGAATGGGGGTGAATGAAGCTAAACGGCTAAAAAACGAGAAGTTAAAATAGTTTCTAATCTCTCGCCCAGAACTTTCCTTTAATTTTAGAAAGCTGAAGGATGTATTTCACTAAAAGACTAAGAAAACTGACCTGTATGTTTCCTTTTCTCTACCGCAAACAGGTTTTGGGCAGCAGGACGCTGCATTACTGCTGCTGAGTGCTGACTGTTTGGCGAGCGGAGCAGCTCATTGGCTGTTCGCGCTCACTGACGTCATGAACGTACACGAGGCACCATTTTAAACTCCTAAACCCTTTAAACTCGAGTTCAATTAGAGTTTCCTGTGTTCAGGAAATGAATGTATTTTTTAAATTAAATATGTTTGAGCATTTATAAACTAAGATTTAGCTCAAATGTTCCATCTTAACCCATTCATTCTGAACTCGCTCAGGAGCGCCCCCTAGAGTTTGAGAAACCCGGAAGACATTACAGAGTGGTAATTATTCTCTCTACAATTTCCCTGCTAAAATGAATAGAAAATGAATCATTTTGTGGGCTGAATAGGATTGTGCCACAGTCCTGACTTGGACCGCGGGCCTTGTGTTTGACACATGGGCGTAGACCATGACTTCAATTCCTCACCCTCATAGCATAATTTATAGTAGTTACCGAATAATTCAAAGTAGGTACTTAATAATGTAAAATAATTGCTGATTAATTAACACAACTAAACTTACACATTAATTTCAAAGTTGTTACTAGGTTATTTATACCAGCTACAGAATGATTCATAGTAGTTACTGAAAAACTTTTATTTATACACACACACACACACACACACACACACACACACACACACACATATATATATATACACACACGTTCATGTACATACATGACTATCTGAATAGTCGCTGACTAGTTTACTGACTATGCCACTGTATTTACTGTATTGCTGCTGTGTTACATCATTGAGGTTTGTAGGAAATGAGATGCAAGCAAAAAGGTCACTTTATGCACATGACAGTTAAGAGCTTTGACCTTTTATTAAACATATTGAGATTAAAAAATAAGAATAATAGAAAAACTTTCAACATCCTGTACAGCAGTACGTATACACAGCACCTTATAATCATTCCACTCTACACTCTTAAAGAAGATGGTTCTACAAGGGTTCTTTCGTAAAGAAAATGGTTCTATATAGAACCAAGAACTCACAAAGAACCCTTTGCTTAAGTTTTTGCATCATGAAAGGGTTTGTGGAGAATGTGTTGTATATGGTTCTTTATAGAACCTTTTTGAAAAGTGTTCTATATAGCACCAAAAAGGGCTCTGCTATTGTTACAATGTTAAACTTGACACAATAGAAGAACCCTTTTTGGTGCTGTATAGAACCCTTTTCAAAAAGGTTCTATATAGAACCATGTACAACACATTCTCCATCAATCTGAGAAGCCCTTTCACAATGCAAAGAACCCTTTGCATGATTGAAGAGTTCCTGGTTCTATACAGAACCATTTTCTTTACTAAAGGACCATTGAAGAATCATAATCATCATTTTTAAGTGCGTAAAGTAAAATTCAGATTCAGAAATGAAGACTTCCCTCAGAGAAGTGACTGCAGTGCTCTTCAGCAGTAGAGCGGCGACCCCTGCTGGTCATTTGATGGAGTTTTTGCTTTTTGGTGGTAATAAATGCTCAAACAGATCCGTAAAGCTACAGCTATATTCACTATTTCATTAATCAGTTGCTACATTGTAGTTATGCAGAACAGCCTTGCTTTTTATTATAAAATTGCAAAAATAAACATCAGTTCTTACATTTAAGCAAATAGTCAAACAGGACATTTGCTTTTATTAGCGTGTTTTAACAATGTCACGTGTTAAAACAGGACACAAAAATCTGGGACCTGTAGTAGTGATTAAATTAGTGCTTTTCGGTCCATAGGAATCTTTATCATAAGCACAAACCTCCCACAGTACCTGTGTCGACAAGAAGTCAGGAGCCAGACCTGTGCTACTCATACTGCATTCTAACAACCAACATATTAATAACTTCAATGAAAAAGCAACACATTCTTGTTATATTCTACTGTATTTATGTTTATTTATCTCAACAGGCAAAAACACACAAAGATAAATAGTTTTATACAACTTTCTTGCCAGCCTATGACTTTTTAGAAGACGGACAGATCAGCAAAGGCAATTAAAACAGCAAAGAACCGGGTGGATAATAGAGGTAGTGCTGGACTGGTACGGTAAGATTTGGTACTAATCCTGAGACACATTTAACCTTTTGTTTACACTGATCCTCCCAGACAGACAACTTCAAACTTTTCCCACTGCACATAAAACAACAAGATCTGACCCAAAAAACTGTCCAGAACATCTGATCACCAGCAAAACCAGCATATCACTGCTGTCGGAATAAAACCTCGTACCCTGTAAAATGGTAACTCTACAGGAGAAGGAAAAAACATACTGAACTTTTAATGTAAGTCAATGGAACCAGAATTTTTTCCGCGTCATTTTGGGTCATTTCTTTTGGTCCATTCTTCATGAAATTTACACACAATGTAAAGACCAACAGGCATTTTCAAATTAGGTCAAAAACTGAAAAAAACAAAAATGGAGATATGAGGTTTTCTTCCGACAGCAGCGATATGTGGTGTTTTGGATGCTGGTGTGCTGGTCAACCAGCATGACCATGTTGTCTGATGAGCTAAACCAGCAACAGAGCAGCGTAAACTAGCCTAAACCAGCTTAGACCAACATGGAAAATATACTGGTCTGCACTGTTTTTTCAGCGTGGAGGAACCAACTAAATGGTTCTAGTTTATTTTGTACCTTGAGAAAATCACAATTAATAGCCACAAGTAACAATTTAATGGTCTTTTTTGGTCATTTTATCTCTAAAGCACATAAATTCCCTACTGAAAAAAAGCACAGGCAGGCACAAAGTCTAAGCTGGTCTATGCTGGTTTATAGTGGTCTAGTGGTGGTCTGTTGCTGGTTTAGCTGGTCACATCAGCACAGTCATGCTGGTTGGCCAGCATACCAGCATCCAAAACACAACATATCACAGCTGTTGGAACAAAACCTCATATCTTCATTTTTGTCGTTTTTCAGTTTTTGACATAATTTGAAAATGCCTGTTGTTCTTTACATTGTATGTAAATTTCATAATGAATGGACCAAAACCA